AAAAGATTTAGAGTCTTAAGATTTCCTGACGATATAGCCTTATTTTCAGAAGCAGCGTCACAACTCGAAGAAATGATAAAGGAACTTCACTCTGTCAGTCACGCTATTGGCTTGGAACTAAATACGGATAAAACAAAAATATTGTCCATCAACTTAGAAAGGCCCATTGAAGTAAACAACCAAACATTGTAATTTTCATAAGAAGAAAAATTTTAAGTAAAATTTTAGTCAAAAATTTTAATTTAATTATATTTAGTTAGTTTAGTATTTTTAAATGTTACCTTGTCTGTCATATGCAAGCTAAACTTGGACATACAACCCCTACACAAAAAGAAAAATTGAGACATGCCAGAGAGCTATAGAACGAAGCTTATTTAATCTGAAACGTAAAGACAAAAAACGAAATACACAGATAGAAATAATACAGAACAAATTTTATAGATGCTCTATCTCATTGTAAGAAACTTAAATGGAAATGGGCGGGACATGTTGCACGTATGGAAGATAAAACATGGACTAAGAAGGTCACTACACCGCAAAATGAAAAAGAGATAGACCACTAGAAAGATGGACGGATGAAATTGAAAGGTTTGCAGGAGACGATAGGATTTCAGTGGCCAAGGATAGGGAAAAGTGGAAAAATCTGGAGGAAACCTATACTCGTAGAAAGGTCCTAAACAATAATTAGATAAATAAAACCTCATTAAATATGTGCCAAAAATTAGCTAGTCATTATTGATTGTAAGGATAATTTTATTTTATTTAAATATATTTTCTTTCATGATAATTATGTTATAATTTTGTGTGTCTAAAGTTTACAAGATTAGTGCGAAACGAGATGCAAAAGAAATTTATACGAAATAAACCCAATGTAAGACACTGATTTTTATTGTAAAGGTATATACTTTATATTATAGTTATATGATTACTAAGCAAATGATCTATTATCAAAAGTCCGGAAGTTATACATGTGTGCGTAATTAACAAATGATACTGTTTCTATGTGACCTAACTTAATGAGTAATTAATACATATTTTATTAACTATTGTGCTGTAACCCGTGCAGAATGAATTTTCATAATTTTGTTAAGCAAATCAATGGCTTTATAATAATAGTAATAATGGTCTGACACAACTGGTTACTTTGCCTACGCGGATACTAAATGTGGAGGATCACGTACCTTCCTTTTTGGACCTTCTGCTGACCTCTCATCTGGATGGATATCAGGTTTCTGTCGATAGCTCTCGGACCATTGTCTGATCCGAAATACGGTGCCACTCACGCTCCCATCGAGGTTATGATCTGCAGTTTTCCGCCGTGTTTGGCACTATAGGTCGTCCGATTGGGACGGGATGCGGTTTTGTACATTCTACCCTTGGGGGCAGGTTTGCTTCTCGCCGGATGATCTCAACGTTGTTGTTGATTCTGTTGCTGTTGTGGTACTTCTGGGACCGGAATTGTTTATTCCATCATCTGTGGTGCCTATTAGATGCAAAACTCAGTCATGGTTTGGTCACTCTGTAAAATTGCATCACGCTATAATCAGGAGTGCTACCGGGCCTGGGCTGATGTATCAACGTCCCAAGATGCAAACACCAGCGCTCTTAAAAGTGTCATTTCCAAGGCAAAATCAGAGAAAATTGGCAGAATTGGCGAGAAACTAGTACGCCTCCCTTCGGGAACACCTGCATTCTGGTCTCTCACCAAAGCTGTCCAAGGGAACTTCTGTCAGCCATCTCTGCCATCTCTGCATAGGGTGGACGACACACTGGCCCATGACGCAAAAGAAAAAGCCAATCTGCTAGGCTCTTTTTTTGCTTCCAATTTGACTGTACATGACGGGGGCAACACACCGTCGACCAGCCCACGGTATGAGTACTCCATGCAGGAAGTTCTATTTACAGAGTGCTCGTTGTGTAAAACACTCATCTCCCTGGACGTCAACAAGTCGAGTGAGCCTAATGGAGTCCCACATATTGTACAGAAAACGTGTGCTCCGTAGTTGACACCGGTTTTAACGCGTCTGTTCCTGTACTCCTACTCCCTAGGCATAGCCCGAACTCATGTAAGATAGCTTTGATGCACCCGATCCCTTAAAACGGCGACCGCTCAGATCCGTCCAACTAATAGCGAAGCCCTCGATCGGGTTTGGCATAAAGCGCTTCTTTCGAAGCTCCCTTTCTATGAGCTACCCGAAAAATTTTGCAATTGGATCACCAGTTTTCGTGCAGATCGGAGTATCAAGGTCGTAGTAGACGGTGCATGCTCCGATTTATAACTCCATTAACGCTGGTGTTCCACAAGGCTGCATGCTATCACCAACGCTGTTTCTTCTGCATATCAATGATATGTAGCAAACCGGTAACATTCATTGCTATGCAGACGACAGCACTGATTGTGCTTTATACACTGGCCATGCCAATATTTCTCGGGAAACGTCGCCGAGTACCGGAACAAACTTGTGTCTGAAGTCGATACTTTGTTGAACAAAGTCTCAAACTGAGGGCGACTAAAACCTAGTTCAGTTCAATTCCCAGAAGACACAAGTTTACACGTTTACCGCTAAAAAGAACCTAAACCTCTTAACATACCTCCCTTAGAATAAAAGCACTTGTTCAGGAAAAAGAACCACTTTGTCGTATCTCCTCAATTTCAAGGCACTCCCCTCGTTGCCTCAACCAGTATCTTCAGTGTTGACATATCAAGTGACGTACAGTTTCGTGGTCACTTGGAAGAGAAGGCCAATTTGGCCTCTAAAAAGCTTGGCGTGCTCAACAGAGAGAAACAGTATTTTTTGCCAGCACACAGCTGGCAACTTTCCCATCTTTGGGCAGGGGCTCCCCAGTGCCAGCTCCTTCCACTTGACCGCATCCAACGCAGAGCGGTTCGAATCGTCGACGACCGAGTACTTTCCGATCGGCTTGACTCACTGGCACTGCTTAAAAATGCTGCTTCTCTTTGAGTAATTTATCGCATCTATCACGGGGAGTGCTTTAAGGAATTGTTATGACTAATTCCGGACGTTAAATTTCACCGTCGCACATCGCGAGAAAACTCGGATGAATTCCAATAAACCACAGTGCGATTTAGAAAAAGTTTTCTTACTCGCATAACTTCCTTGTGGAATCGATTACCACCTGCGATTTTTCCGGACTGATACTACATATGGACCTTCAAGAAAAGAGCCTACTCCTTTCAAAAAGGCCGGCAACGCATCTGCAATTCCCCTGGTGTTGCAGTTGTTCATGTGCTGCGGTGGTCACTTACCATCAGGTGAGCCGCATGCTCGTTTGCCCCCTCTCCTATTAAAAAAAATCATCAATCTTCGCATATCCACTCCAGGTTTTCAGCATTGCGCAATGCTGAAAGCAGCTTCGAAGATAAGCCCATGTATAATTGATTTGCAACTTCGACTTAGATGTGCAAGAGCTCGGGAGTCACTGACGGGTCGAATGGATATCGTTCAGTGAGTGTCATAAGCTAGAATAAAAACACCGGTTGCCAACCCACCCGGCAAGCGTAGGAACTATAGCAAGTACTCCCGATATGAGGCAATTTTGTTACGCTTAGCAAGCGGGTTGGCAACCGAAGTTTATTTCTATTTTTAGTCGTTAGTAGGAAGCAGTTGTTAGGAAGACGCTGTTTCCCTCTGTCGCCTCTTACGACACTCTGATGTGGGATAGTGGATATTCTTACATCACCTATTAACTTAAAATATTACAAATGATATTTTTTTTAAATTTGTTTTTATAAACATATTATTTAAAAGAGCCTGGTGAAAAGGCTGGTAATTATAACAAAAAATGTCCCTTAATAATGTTCTGGTTTAATTTATTAAAATGTTATCTTTGTAATTATTAAATTTTCGACTTATTATTTGATGAACAAGTAAATAATTATTGTTGAATAATAAACACCATATCAAAAAAGAAATAAACTCAACAACAATAAATGCAACGTTTCGCCAAAAAGCACAATTTACTGGCCTTTTACCTTAAGTCTTTGTTTTTGTGATTAAAATTGTTCAAGAGAGTATCGTAGATTTGATGTCTGGATAACTTATACACACCAACTATATTAGTTTTGCTTGAAGGGTAGTTTATAAGTTCAGGGTTCTCAACGGCTTCTACTGTTGATTGTTTACTGCTTGAACCGATTAGAAATAAGAAGAAGCAGGCTAAGATAAGTTAAATCTTATTTCCCAAGAGAGACGACCATACATACGTTGGCACTGGTTTTCTTCGAGTTGAAGTTCAGCCGCGTATCAATTAAGTATATTGCAGGCTCGAATTTCTAGCGATTATGATTGTAATTTTGTTTTATATTTATTTTTTTTAAAGAATACTAGTAGTGATTTTAACACAACTAATATTCCCGTAAACTATATTTTATTATAATGCTTGTGTCAGGTCTAATTGTGTTAAAATAAATTTGAGTTTCACAGTCCGTACCCTTAACTGTTGGAATACTGTCGCCTCTTGTATGTGTTGTTAATATAATTAATAGAATCAGGCGTTACTTTGCGGAAATCCATTATATAAAAGCTTTTAGAACAATTTACTTCGCAAATATCCGCGTTATAAAATAAAATGATGTGTCTTACCTAGTATGAAGAGCACCTTTTACAATTAACAACCAATAACTTTTTCTAAAAGCTTTTGTGTTGTTAATTTTTATTAATTATTTTTTGTCAATAAATAAATAAAATCAAATGCTATTTTTAAGAAAAGACTTGTGTGACAAAAAATTTCATTATTTTTTTTTATTAAAATAAGATTACATATTAACAAAATAAAAAAGAACATATTAATAGTTCTCTTTATTTACCACGAATAAACTGATTAAATATATTTTATTGCTATAAAACATTGTTACAATTATTTTGAAATAGTTAGTAAAATATTCATAAAATTAGATTTATAACTGAAAAAACAAAACTTAAAAAGGATATTTAAGACCATAGTCGCAAAAAATATGAAATAACCATGTTATAAAATACCTAAAATAAATAAGTTTTGACGCCCTTGTAATAGACGGGCAGGTACTCGGACCACACTATATTAACAGGATTAAAGGGAAACAGATTTTTATCTAAAGCTGACAAGGACGCATAGAGAGCTTGAGTTTTCTTTGAATCCATTACCCAGGATCTTGACGTGAAGTATTGGTAAGTATCATTCAACTTTAATACTTTTCGTTGCAGTTTAACGTACCTGTGGAAATTTATAAAAAATACATAATAAAAACAGAATTACAAAATATTATTAAGCTACTTGTAAATAACACCACGTAATTGGCGATGAAGTAAAACATAGTCTGGAAACCTGCATGTCAGAGAAATAAAAAAAAATTAAAATATTTCGGAGACATGTGAATTCCGCAACATGCATTTGGGCAGCGCGGCGGACACTTTCTTGCCCTGAAACCGTCTCAGAAGTGAGAGGAGGCCTGTGCCCAACAGTGGGACGTATATTATAGGCTCTAAATTTACTTTTAATTTTACTTTTCTCAATAAACATTTAACTTCAATAAAATAGCGCTAACAGTTGTTTACCACGGAGGGTGGGAATATTTTAAATTTAAACATTTTCTTTATATTTTCTGGTTAAATCTATGGTTTAAGATGAGTCTCACCCGTAAGAATAATCGGCGTAATTTTTTTTTTTAATTTAATTTAATGTAAAAACCCTTTGAGTATTATTTATAAGCAAGCTAAAATACTCTGAGATTAAACCTTTTTCGTAATATAATATCGATGACAAAAACAATCCCAATTCATCATCACCATCATCATCATTACAGCCCTTCACTTTCAATAATTAATTAAATGTGGCAATCCTCACAATATTGTTCATCCTTTTTGGTATTTCGTTCAAGATATTTTATACATATTATGAAACTTTATATAAAAAAGTTTTGAAAGATTAAGTAGCATGAAAACCTCAGATAATAACATAAATACATACACATGACTGACGTAGACCAGAGTACCTTAACATCGTTGACGTAGAGATAGATGTCTTTTAGGTTTTAGCATTTAGACGACAAAATAAATTGTAACGATATATGTATTCGTGTGGATATGTCAATCGTTATATTATGCCAATATTATTTTTATATTATATTCTCTGGATTTTTTTATATAATATAATATTGGGAAATTCTAAAATTTTAACATCAGAAAGTGGATCACCGCAAAAATCCATTTTAAAGGAATTTAAATATTTATTTAGTTAAACCATCAACCGAGCGTTTAACAAGGAAGAAGAAGGATGCACAAAAAGTTAAAATTAAACGAAAAACAGCTGTTGTAAAAGCGGCCATTTGACCTAAAGCAATATAACTCAGAAAATACAACAAATAAAATAAACTCTAAATCACAGTTTACATATCAGTGGTTGACTGCTTATACTTTAAAATGTCAATGAAAGATTAGCTATCATTGATGTTATGAAATAATCCATAAATTTGTTTTAATAAAGTATTATAGAAAACCGTGTTGTGGAGTTGTATCTATATCTATCTATATAATATCCCCTACCCCATATCGCCCCATGGTTGTCGTAAGAGGCGATAGAAGGAAACAAGTCAGGAGATCAGCAGCAGCGTCTACTAAATAACGACTAAAAATAAAAATCTGCGTTTGCCACCCAGCTTTCCAAGCATGGAAACTCTGGCAAAATATCCAAATATATGAGTCAATCTATGGAGAAGGCCAATGTTCAGCAGTGGACTTTAATAGGCTGTATCTGTAACGACATTACGGGCATTCGCCTAAATAATTCAAAATTTCTCTTAGATTTAAACTAGATTCTGATAGGCGCTGGAAGATGGGTTACCGCAGTTATTTATTGCTTTAATTTATTATCAGATTTTAAGATTATGCTGCCCATCGTCTGTATTAGTTGCCTCTTATTTTATCCACGGGATGATATTGGACAGTGGATATTTTTACACCGCCACTCCCGAAACCAATTAATAATAATTGATATAAAAATTGCAAAGCTTCATACTATTATATTATAATTTTATCATCAGCATCATCATCATCATTACAGTATATCACATGCCTACTGCTGAATGTACACTTTTCCTATAGACTACGACAAACACGGTATTAAATCATGTGTATCTAGTTATTTAGTAAATTACTTACAAAGACTTCTACTTTCTATTTAAAAATCGCTATAAGTAATATACTTATGGTGTACGCTTTTATAATTTACTAACGCCCCGTCCGGGTTTCGGTAGAAGATTAGTCCGGTCAGACAGACAGACAACAATTAAAAGAATGTAATGATATGTAAATAACCCTCTCAGCCTAATAGAAGTTATTTATTGCAATGTCACAGCAAGACATTTCAATTTTAGTTATATGATTTTATTTTATAGATTAGGTTTTTTTTTCATAGAATGAGGGTGACAAACGAGCACATGGCCCACCTGATCGTAAGTAAATTCTGTGACCCAAAGACATTTAAATTCATCCTCAACTAATAATTAAAATGCAGATGCATTGTCACCCATATGAACTGAGATGGAATGCCTCGATTCCAGTTAAAAGGTTATCGGGTTCTCTGCACTAACCATATAAAAAACAGCAGCATTAAGCTGTTATTTTACGCTATTATTCTGAGTGAGCGTGGTTCTACACCGGGAGTGTCTACCCACTTGTGAAACAACAGTAATATAGCTGCAGAGTGGCTCTACCACGTTAAAAACAATAAAGATATATGTACAAAGAAAAGCATAATTCAATAAGTATAGTAAATAGTAAATGAACTTTACGTACCTAGACCTTTTCCCAGACAGCCATAAAAAACAATCAGCGAAAAAGGCTAGTATCGTCTGTATTCTAATTATCGTTTTTAAGAGCCACTGATTTTTTGTGAAATTTATGGTAGGGTATGGAATATCGTCTGAAATAATAACAACAATGTTATATGATTAAATCAACAATATAATTATGAAACTTTTTTATTCTTTAATTATTTTGGGATTTTTGTCAAAATGACGTGCCAATCTCATCATATCCTATACTTTTTTTTTATAGGACAAGGGTGACAAACGAGCACACAGTCCACCTGATGGGAAGTGGTTGCTGCGGCCCATAGACATCTACATGTATTCAAAATGTAGACGCAATCTGTGGGAGAGGCTTATGGTCAGCTGTGGACTTGTGATAGGCTATACTAATGATGATGATGATTTTAAATCTACTACAACCACATACTTACTAAGTTTGAAACGAACACTTTCATCTATAAAACTTCTACAGACCGCTCCAAGGGTAACAGGATTGGCACCACTAGAACTACTATTATACACCAACAAGTCATCAGAGCTGAAAATATATTTAGATTTTTTAAGTTTAATACCTCATACCAATAAAAGATAAGTTTAAGATAAATAAAAAATACTAAAAGATAATGCTAATAATAGTGGCGCTGTAAGAATATCGACTACCCCATATCATCCCGTGGGTATCGTAAGAGGCGACAGAGGGAAACAAACCCGGAGATGAGCAGTAGTATATTCCTAATAACGAATAAAAAAAACTGCGATTGCCAACCCGCTTGCCAAGTGTGGTAACTATAGTGAAAACCCCCTATGAGGCAAACAATCGGGGAGGGCTAAATAAGAAGACAAAATATCAACCATCAGCGCTAAAACTGTCTTTTTTACGATATTGCCTTCTTCAAAGTTAAAACTTGTTGATAGTGAAGAAATTAATTACAACATTATAATACCAGGATCGTCTGAAAAGTTTCCGACATAAACGTGAAAATGGCAGCATTCCTCAATAAAAGCTAATGAATGGAGTTGTGCATCTTTTGACAGTTACGCATCAAAGTTTCAGCCATTTTGGACGCGTAGTTGTTATTTGACAGTCGTTCGTTTGAGTGAGTCGATGTATCGATGTGAGAGAAAATGAAAAATATTGAGTATCGAGATGTCATTAAATCTTTATATTTGAATGGCAATACGCCTACGAAAATCAAAGATGAGTTGAATTTTGTATATGAAGACTCTGCACCATCATTTCCATAGTAAACTTTGGGCAGCTAAATTTAAACGTGGCTGCGAGAGCTTGAGAGAGGATGAACGTGCAGGCCGTCCAAAAACTGCAACTACTGACGATAACATCGCTAAAGTTCACCAAATGGTTCTAGAAGACCGCGTAATTAAAGTAAGAGAGATATCAGAGGCTATGAAATTGTCCAATGAACGTGTTTGTCACTTATTAAATCAAGATTTAGGCATGAGAAAGCTGTCAGGGCGTTGGGTGCCGGGTTTGCCCACGTTAGACCAAAAACGTGTTCGAATGAACATTTACAACGCTCTGTTAGCGCAGTTTAGGCACAATAAATCCGAGTTTTGGCGTCAATTAATTAGTGTAAATGAAACTTGGATACACCGTTTTACGCCCGAAATAAAAATATAGTCAAAACAGTGGAAAGCGGGAACCGGCTTCAAAAGAAAAGCAAAAACTTTTCGGCTGGGAAAGTGATGGCGACTGTTTTTTGAGATAGTCATGGAGTTATCTTAATCGATTATCTTCAAAAAGGAAAAACCATTACGGGAGCATACTAGGCATCATTACTTGACAAACTGAAGGCAGAATTTGCTAAAGGACGGCCACATTTGCTGAAAAAGAAAATCCTGTTTCACCATGACAATACGCTGTCTCACACCTCGGTGGTTGCCATGGCAAAAATCCACAAATCCATTGGCCTTACTCACCAGATCTAGCCCCAAGCAACTTCTTTTTGTTCCCTCATCTAAAAATTGCACTCGGAGGACAATCATTTTTTATGATCATCATCATTCATCATAATTCATCGAATTTTTAACGTATCCACGAGGAAAATGATTAAAATGCGATGAAAACATAAAGCTAATCAACAAACAAACAAAAAAAACAAAACAAAACAAATGACAAATTTAAAAAAAGAATTCCATATTTGTAAAAAACAAAAATATTTTAAATGAGAAATCTTAGCCAATCTAAAATTTTTTGTCTTGAAATGGCAAGTACTCCAGAACGGCAATTATAAAGGTAAAAACTTATTAAAAATAGCGACAAATCTGTTTTTCAAGTAATCGCCTTTCAAACTGATTGATATAATATGTTTTCGCTATACCATAATCAACTAACAACCGGTGCTTGTTGCTAGTGATAACATATCGATCTAAGCAAGCTATAGGAGATAGAGGGATAGGTTCAGAGATTATCTGCGTCATAGAATTCGTAATCAGAATATTATTCGCAATATAACCAGTGTAAGCAAAAGGAGCAATAAGCCAGCCATATTGCTTGAAGAACTGACAAACGATAAGAAAACTAGGATCTCACGTGTCCTGTTCGTATCGGTAAGCGAAGCTTAGGGTGGTGCGGTAAAAGATGAAAGAAATCAATGGATGCAGGTGTGTCAGGACCTTGTTTTGTACCTTTCCTTGAGCGAGACCTATATCAGCAGTAAAGCAAAGGCGATGATGATGATTTAATAAAATGTTACTAGATCCCAGATGATTACATATTTAAATACTATGAAAAATTTGTAACAGAAATGAAACAACAGTGTCAGGAGCACGTCAAGAAATTATTGTAACGTTGTAAGAAGTTGCTGCCTTATTAGTTCCTCAATAATAATTAGTATTATTTGATAGAATAGCAAGATTAGCAGATGCTAAGCAAACAAACATGCTAGTAAAAAAGTGACTATTTTCTACCGACTATCTCTGACGTAATGTTTTATTTTATTAATCTAAGATGGATTTATCGTTAGAAGTAAATTAGTAAAACTAAAGGCAAGAGCAAATCTGATAATCTAAAAGTATGAATAAATAAAATCTTACCCCTTGCACTTTGCAGCAGCTACTATATTTAAGTTTGAGACATAGTCGACTGGTATGAGGTCAAATAAATTGGAACTAGCGCCAGCCAAGACTCTATAATGGCCTTTGCCGACCATGAACACTATTGAAGTTGCACCAAACCAGTTATCGATCCAGCCTTCAGACGGTTCATTTTTACTTGGTACAACTGTAGAGAAAACAAATTTCTTATCATTTTGTTGATTCACAAAATTCTTATTTACGTATTAAGGTAGGCCCTTTATTACGAGTATTTTTAAACGCTCGACCTAAAATTAACTTTGATTTGATTGATTGAGATTCTTCCACAGGTTTAATTGATTTGAACTTTGGTATCCTGTTACTTCAGTGATATTGCAAGAACATGGCAACCTTGACCTAATGGGGAATCTACAGGATACTCAACTCCTCGACAACTTACAGCAGAGGTATTGTATTTGGGTTCACTGCAGAGGAGGAAAAGATATAAGGATAAATTAGTAGTATTTCCAAGCTACTTTCATTCGTTTGTGGTGAATTAGTGTATGAATGTCTAAAGTGAATGAAATAAAGAATGAGTTACTTTTTTACTTTTGTTTTTCTCTTTTGATGTCTTTTCATTTCGGGGACTTTTAATTTTTTTTAAGTTTGTTAATAGGATCTTACAAAAGCGTAAAGTTTAGTTGTAATAATGGGTCGGGGAAATAGTTTCTTATTATTTTGTTTGTATAAAATTAAAGATAAATCTCTTCAGTTGTACTATTTGTATCTGTCTGGTGTTAATATCAATGTATTATAGGAAAAAGTAAAATAAAAAGATATTAAACATTTTCCCGCCATTTTTCTATTGTTTTGCTGTGCGCGTAAATGAGTGAATCTAACGAAGAAATTCAATACATTCTGAAGTTTTGTTACAAAAAGGGAAAAATGCGACTCAAGCCGAAAAAAAACTAATGCGGTGTCAGTAAGAGTAGCACAAAATTAGTTCAAACGTTTTCAGTCCGGGAATTTTGATGTCTAATATGCAGCTCGCTCTGGTCGCCCTTATACGAATAAAGTCGATATCATTATTTAAAAAGTGGCATATTAGTAGTTTTGACATAGCCGAGGAATTAAGACTTGACCACAAAACAGTTTTGACCCATTTTAAAAAGTCTGCCTATACAAAAAAGCTCGATATTTGGGTACCACACGAGCTCACTGAAAGAAACCCAATGAATCGTGTACTCATTTGCGATACTCTATTGAAACATAATGACCCCGAACCATTTTTGGAAAGATTGATCACTAGTGATGAAAAGTAGATCACGTACGACAAGAACGTATGAAAAAGATCTATTATGTGCTTTTACCGCCAGATAAAATCATCGACTCGGATCTCTACTGCCAACAACTAATTAGACTCAAGCAATAAATTGAGAAAAAATGGCCGGAATTGACCAACAAAAAAGGAGTGTCCTTTCATCATGTCAACGCTAGACCATACACATATTTGGCCACTCAGCAAAAATTGAAAGAGCTTGGTTGGGAAGTGTTAATGCATTCACCATATAATTCTGACCATAAAAATTCAAATCTTCACTTGTTTCGGTCTCTTGAGAACTTTTTGGGTAGTGTTAGGTTAATATCAATAGAGGAGGACTGGCACAACTACTAGTCGCATTTTTTTACAAAACACCCAAGATTTTTTCTACAGCAACGGAATTTTGTGGGTAGTAACCCATAAGATGGCAACAAGTTATTGAACAAAATGGCACATATATATTATAATTAAATGTAATTAAATAAAAAATATCTTGAATTTATATATATGTAGGAAGTATAGTGGATCTAGTACAGAGACTGATTTTGTAGTTACGAATAATAATTAATTCACTTACACGAATTAATTATCCAACGAGTCGAGGATAAACTAGTAAAGGAATACGACAAGCGCTCTGTTCCACGTCAGAGCCAAGACTGTCCTAACGGCGGCAGCTCCGTCCGTTTTATACAAGTTAAACGGGCGCCACCGCAGGTGCAATGGTGCAGGTGTGCGGAGCACGTGTTATTTACAAGAATTCTGTCTAGCTACACTGACGGCGCCGCACGTGCAATGGTGCACGTGCTGTCATATACATTACGAAGAATCTTTTTCCTCGACCTGATATATGGATATGCGGAATGAAAAGATAACAATAAAAATATTGGTGAAGAAAATTCTTTTAGTGTTTAGTTTCGATATATTGAAATATCTATACCAATAGATGGTCTTATTATAACTGTAGGTATATTGTTTCGTTGTTCCGCTAAATAATGCTCGGTAAGTGCCTTCGTGAAAGTGTACGTGTTGGGTCGATCACCTGAAAATGAAACAAAAAATTCTATTAGGCAGAATAAAATTGCTATTTTATCATTATAATAATTTTGCTTCTTAATACACAAAGCGGTTTATTGATAGTCTTAAAGAGAGTTCTTTTCATAAAATTGGTCCCGTAGTCGCGACGCCAGTCTTCGTAATATGTATTTAAAATTTCCATACTTTACATTTAATTCCATATATTTTCCGCGGAACCTTTATGGAAATAGACTCTAGTTTAAATTTAAAATAAATTATAAGCCACTTTCTGTACCAAGGCGGCAAGTGTCTCTTGCTTCAAACAAGCAATTAATACGTAGGCTGTCATTATTTTTCGTGGTATGGATCGAATGGACATAACATCTACCTAATGGTACTTCACACTATTACAACAGACTTTCAATATTTTTGATGGCCATATAACAGGCATTTTCGTAATAGCATCAACTGTTATTCGTTACACTTAGAAGTTTTTTTTCTAATTCACGATTCTGCACAACTATCATCATGTTGGAGCCGCCTACATGAGGTACTTCGTGCTGACCGCTGGGATTTTAATTCTGCATTAACGAGTAAGAATTTAATCGCATTTTTGGCTGCGCAGTTAATTTTAGCTAGTTAATGAATAAAGTTGGACTTGACAAACATGTAAAGGTTACACTTTACTATTCCAACCAATATTACCAATCATTTTCTGTGAACACCGATTTGGTGTTAAATCCAATGTCAAAGTTCAATTTAAAACAAACATTCGAATCACACGCTTTGGCAAACTTACACCAAAGTTTTCTAATCTCTTTATCATTGTCTCCGTATTGCTGAAGTGCAGTATACACATCCTCATAATAGGCTGGTGGGGGATAAATAACCTCTTCGATGATCTCACGATTTGCATTGGAATATGCGGTAGAAACGTAGACAAAGGTCTGAAATTAAGTAAAACTATTTATTAAAACACAATGAACCATTTCTATAAGTGGCCATATTGCAGCAATATTTCGAATGATATGTACAGAACCGGAATACAAAGAACAGGAGATCCTTTTACTAGAAACAAGCCATTCCATCTTAATCCTCAGAGGTCTGCATCATTTTAATACTTAATCTAGTATAGATGTAAATGTCTATGGGCCACGGCATCCACTTAACATCACGTAGACAGAGTGCTCGTTTATCACCTTTATTGTATTAAAAACAGGATAATGGGGCCCTTAGACCCCTAAATTCCCGATAAGTTGGTTCTTCCTCGGTCAAGCCAACGCATTCGTGCTGCAGCTACATTAAGCTTGTGGATCTGTTGCTTTCTTTTTTAGTGCATTTAGAGATTTGTTAGTAAAATATTTCCTTGTATATATGTGCGATTGTATCTACATCTACGCATACACGCGCCCGTGTGGATTTACGTAGGCATAAGCGTTTGCAAATACTTATACGAGTTTGTGTATTGTTACTACTCAATTAGTACCATTCGGTTACAACAGAAAAACTTCCACAGTATTATTTTTGCATTACCAATAGTTTCAAAGTAAAGTAATAACGCCAGCCGAATCTCTTTAGCACGCGATCCTATTGCTTACTTACCTTTGCCATACCTAATCAGAAGAAGAAGATAATTAAGATGTTTCTCTGGTCCTGGTTTCTTAGCCGTCGATAGATGGTGAAGAATATTTTCTTATAAAACTAAAGACGACGAACTCACAGTCTTCTTTGAATTCAATGTTGGGCAAATGTCTAACATTTTATTTAAAACTGAGGCAGATGATGTTTAACTTTTAACTGTAATTTAGCACGCAATCCTTTTGGTTACTTACCTCTGTCATACCTCATAATCAGAACAAGAAGATATTTAAAATGGTTTCTTAGCAATCGGTAGATGACCAAGAATATTTTTATAAAACTGAGAACGACAAACTCACAGTGTCAGAATGCCTCACAATCTGTTATTTTACAAGCTCTGTTTACTCTTCTGACCATAACAAAGCAGAACGATCACTGTAATTTGGCAGTAGAAATAGGTAGGATGGAAGTACATGCCCAGATGAACTTCAAGATAGGAAAGGAGTCTTACCACCTTGTAAATTTTAATTTGAGCATTTGTGTTTTTCTTGAGTGACTTGGACCACAACCAACTAATACTAAAAAAGAAATTTGGGAGTAGCAGGAAAAGTAAGTGAGTAGAATGAATACTGTAGAAATATATTCAATAAGAAGGAAATGCTTCACTGATGTAGAAATAATGAATGAAGAAAGAGTGACAAAGCAAATTTAATATGCAGAAGCGAGAGCAGAGTCGGCAAATGACTTTTAAGACCAAATTAGCCATATATTGAAGATGGGCCAATTTAAGGGTACCTTTAACTGACGAGCATGTATGCGTAGTATGATAGGTAGGTATGTGAAAAGGAGCGAGAGCGGTGGGTCAGGATTATGTTAATAAATCCCGAAGTCTCTTCCTATCCTCTGAGTGACAGGCGTCCGCGATAATGTATATATATATATATATATATATATATATATATATATATATATATATATATATATATATATATATATATATATATATATATATACCGTAAGCCCCATGTTTTGCAAACGTTACTTAATTATTGAAGTATCTTAACTAGTTATACATAACAATAAAATAGGCGCTTTATCCTTTAAGTTACTTACCAGTAATTGTTTCATTTTTTTACATAGATTAAGAACTCGTCTTGTGCCTTCGAAATTTATGTTCATTGCAACTTTTAAAGGTTCGTTGAATCTAACAGTCGCAACCAAGTGGAAAACGACAGATACCTAAAAGAGTTGTGATTAATTTAGTAATGAGCAAATTTTTGCAAAAGTGGAAGATTAAAGTATATTTTTGTATATATCTTATGGTTGGTGGTAACCATTTGATTTATGAGTTTTCGAATTAAAAAAAAACTCCTGCTATTTTTTGGGATAAATGACATAGGCCTGTCCTAATATACGAGTCTTGACATGCATTACTTAAAAGATGAGCCCATACTCACGCTGGACAGGTTAAGTGCAGGGCCAATACCCTCGCACTAGCCATACACAGTACATATCTCAAGTGAGGTTGACACTTGAAAATATATTATATAATAAACGATAAATTAAATAAATCGGTCACGCGCAGTATCACTACTACGTGTCATCAGCCCTTCCCATTCCCTGCATGAGTTAGGTATTAGATTGTTTCTGAAAATTGGAAACAGCTACTTTTTTTTTAAATTACAAATAATAATTTTGCATAAAATTTAACTCAAAATAATGTATTCACATATTTTAAATTATACTTCTGATATTATCGGTTGATACTCCACATGATGATATACAAAAACCATAATGTCCCTAAGGATAAGTATAATATTAACTTGAAATGTTTCTTTTGAGTAAATGTAAAATAAATCTACCTTTTCCCGTAGTTCTTTCTCATCTTCTTCTGTAACTCCCAAGTTTGGCTCAGATATGTCACCAACAATAGGTACTACTTTTCGCACGTAATCTGCTCTCTCAGACTTTAATCGTTTGAAAATCTGAAAAAGGACCAATAAGGAACATCAATTGTTGAATCAATAATTACATTAACTTATGAGATTCAATTGAGAAATATCAGCTTTTTGGTTGCAAATAAACCTTTCCATCTAATTCCTCGGATGTGACAAGCACATGTGCCACTCTTTTTTTGGAGTTGGTTCCAGGTATCCAAGGACTGCAGAGATCATAAGCAAATTATCAGACGGACTGCTAATTTGTTTTTCACTCTATTATGCAAAAAAAAACTGGAGTTTGAACCGAACTTTCTTAATATTTTTAACTTCTTCTTCATCATCATCAGTCTGTAAAATCCCACTGCTAGAAATGGGCCTATCTCTATATATATGCGTAAATTGTTACTCTTGACAAAATCTTCAAAGATCGTAGTACTACAAGCTACAAGATATCTTACGCCTGGCGTGAACAAAATAATTGAAAAGATAGGATGTTTCTTATATTTCTCATGATTGTGATGATATTTGTATAATATTTTCATGATACTTTTCATAATAGTACATAGACGCCTCTTATGATACTTACAGGAAGAAATGAAATACTGGATTATCTTAAGCCATCATCACTATGCGTTCTCTTAAATCGGTATTAATAACATTCTTAACAGTTAGATTACGTATGGTCCGTTTTATGCTTCCCGGATATTTTATTGTTTATCTTACTAAGTATTCAACGGTTATAAAGAAGACTTAAAACAATATACTCACTGGTTGCTCAAAAATATTTTGTAATCGCTTCTCTGGACTAACATTTTTCTTTTCGCGTATCAAAAGATAGATTTTCTCCAGTTTCTCGCAACTATAGAGTAACTTTTCTAACAATACCTAAAATTAAAATTTATTTAAATGTAACATAAATTTTTAAAATTGTCATCATTATCAGTACGTAAAAGTCGACTGTTAGGTCTGGGCTCCACCAAAGTGGAGAGGAGACGAGAGAAGAGATGTCTTTTAAACAACCAATATAATTTCGTTATTCACACATCTCGTCTCCACTTGGTTCCAGTGAAGAAGACTGAGCTGAGATCATATTTGTATAGCGTGATTGAATTGTAAGCTGGGTCTCGCCGAGATTGAGCTGGGCGGTAGTACATACCGAAGATGTGAGCTGTGCCTCGCAAGCTGGCAAATCCTGTACTAATTCCGATTATAAAAGTTCACATTTTAGCAAAAATGTGAACTTGCTAAAATGTGAACTTTTGGAATACTTGTTTTTCTTTATTATAATGTGACAAATAAACATATTTTCTTCCTTACTTTCTTTTTAATTCTTTCGGTTGGACGTTCATGTGTTTTATAAGGATAATTTGCACACGGATGACACCCAGACCGGGAACACTCGTTCGGGCGCAATAAATTCGTTTTTGTTGTACGCGACATCAATTTGTAGAACAAAAACGATTTCGGAATTACAGTTTTTGAGATATTAAAATAGTACCTAAAACTTCATTTTATTCTATTTTATTTAATACGTACTTAGGCAACGGCTGTTATTTAAATGCACCTGTGTTCTCAGTTCTTATATATAT